AAGATTAGAGTTACGTATTTTATCTAGTAAATAGATATTAATAATATTTTTTGTTTTTCTAATTATTTTGACTATACACAATTATCATCTTAATAACTTTGACATTAGTCACTTTTGCTAATAAATTATCGAATTTAACATTTCATTAATTTATTCTTTCATGACTTGTGAGTAACCTCGATGATACTTTTTTTTAATCATAATTTTAAAAGAAATATGTATGGTTTTAGATTTTCTTTGTAGCGTAGAAAATATTATATTTTTTAATGCACTACATAATGATCTAATTTCCAAAAATTGGAGAGTGCAATTTATTATTTTAAAAATAACTTAAATTAAATTTTAAACAGTAACACAATTAATCTTATGATAATTCTAAGTATTTAAACACTCAATTCACAATCCAAACAAGTACTATTAGTGAGTAATAAATCCAGATTAGATTCGACAATGATAAATATTTGTCATGTAGACTAAGTATATGTAAAAATTCATCGAGAATGTGTTTGTCATAAACACATTTGTCATTGGTTAACATCAAAAAATTAAAGAATACAATATTTGAATATTTATATTGTATTTTAAAATAATTGTTCATTTTTCTACGAGGAATAAATGTACCTTAATAAATTATTAATAAATATTCATGATGTATTATCATAAAAAAACAATTCAAGATTCCAGCTTTAAGATTAATTGCCAATAGGTGCCAACTTAGATACTTTTTTGATACTTATGTATTTTTTTTTTTCGAATTATTAAATCAACTAAATTCAAAATTCAAAATATAATATTTAAAGAAATCAAGGTATTAGCTTTGCTGTATATAATAAAGTTAGTCCGTAATTCCGTAGGTCACTGTAGTTTGTAATCGATGCTCTAAACTTTAATTCAATAATAAATTATTACATTTAAGAAGCGATTCTGACTGGAGACAGTTTGTTTATGTAATTATTTTATCTTTTAGTAGATTAATAGACTAAACTAATTGTTGTCAAAAACACATCGCATATATTTTAATATAGTTGTAATATTATATAATATTACAAATTACACAATACATCTTTAAAAAAATTGTGCAGTAGTACAAATTGAGGTTATTAGTTTCCTATAAAAACAAGAAACTAATAAAAAACCTTGTATTTAATTTTTAATTCTTAAATTTAAAAACAGGAAATCTTATCAATTAATAATTTGAAAATGTTCGTAATTTTAACCAATTTCATCAACATTTAAACTTTAAGCCCTTAAAAAAAAAAAACTAAATTTTTTGTCACTGAGGACTACAACTAATATGGAATCCTATACTTACTTAACTTTCAAGGTTTTTGGAAGAACCTAAAATATCTTAACGACACTTTAAATTAAAAAATTGTAAATAGGTACTTATAAAAAGCCTAAAACAAAACTAAATATAATATCACTGTGCATAGAAAATAGTAATTTAAGTAATGCTAATTGCTTGAATGTCACAAGATTTTATGATTGATATTTTTCCCTTATATTTTTAAGTTTTCAGGTTATTTTGAAAAGTGCTGGGAATTTTGATCACCCGAAATATCAACTGATCTAACTTCTTACCATAAATCACCCTCGAAATTTAAGTTTACTCCAAAAAGTACTCATACACATCGTTGCAAAACCAATACATTCATGGCTCCACTAAGAATCTAAAAATTATCTTACGTTTAACTCATTTAAATGTCACAATAATTGAGGTATATATTTAAATAGATTAATTGGCTATATAAAAAGCGTAATAACACGTTATAACACTTATTTTACTCATATACCTACAGATTTCATACTAAATCACAAAAAAAAACATTATTTTTTAATCTCATTTTCTTATATAAGTTATCTCAATGTATTATATTTATATACATTTTTTTAATTTCGCATACGGCTTATTATTTTCGTCTGTATTATTCAATTACGATCATAATAGACTAAAATGTAAATCTCATTTGATTAATATTGTTGACCTAAGACATAATTACAAACGATAATATATATTGAATATATTACTATGTTTTATCTTGTACTAAAATTGAATGCATTAACTATTATTAAACATTATAATAATTATAATTATAATTCTTGACTAATTGGCATTGATAACTTATTTTAAAAGAATTTAATTTTGAATATCAGCCATCGATGTGTTTTTCTATATTAATGTGGGTACTACAACTTTGATTATTGCTAAATTGAAGAGATTATATTGTTTACTACTATCTCGGTATTTATATGTAAGCGATGTATGATGAATAAATAAAACTCAATGACATATTGGCATATACGTTTTAATGATAAATTAGAATATATTAAACATTTATGCGTCGCTAATTTACTATAAAATAGAATACAATAAACACAATATATATATAGCACATAGATATAATTAATTTAATTAAATGGTTGTAGTTAAAACTGTCTTTAAATCATGATAATTTTTTAATTTAAAATCAATGTTTGTATTTAATTTTATTGAATGTTTTAATGAAGTTAAATATTAATAATTCATTTCAAGTACCTACATTCCATAGTAATCAATGATTATACATCGGTATTTGAAATAAAATATTCAATTAACATTTTTCTTAAACATTTAGGTAACAGCCAGTAGGTAAATAGATACTGACTACTGATCCGCAATATTACGGACGTCGTTTAAGTTTTTTCCAAGCACTAAAGTACTTATGCTAAGCTTATTGAAATAAAATATTTAATTTACGCCTATATATGTTATACCTACATATTTATAGGATACTTATGTCATACATGTAACTAAAAATTATAAATTTTAATTATTCCATATTAAATAGGTATCACATTATAATTTATTGTACCTACCTAACAATAAATCAATTAGACGTCACAGGCTTTCGCAGCTTATCAATATGGCACCTCGTGCAGCATTGTTATAATATTTTATTGATAGTCGTGTACAAAATATATGTGACGTATACAAGTGTACAACTATAAAATATAAGTATATGTAACATCCGTTTCGATATGTGTGTGTGTGTGTGTGTATGTATGTGTGCGAGGGAGAGAAAGGGTGGGATCAGAAAGATACGAGTGCCATAATAATAAATAATAATAAAAATTAAAATTATTAAAAAAAAAAACCGTTTGCGAAACGTACGTAATGCGTACGAACCGTACGATGATATACGTTTATAGTAGTCGAGCTCACTCAATAGGTCGTACACACTTATAGCCATCATCCATACCATAACATTATACGCTAAATATTAGAGATGCCTATATTATTCTTGTATCTAACGAGTGACGATCATATTATGGTGAGGTCGCGGGGGACCACTCGAGACGGATATCCTCTTACACACGTGATTGCGAGTTGTTACGTTTACGCTTTACTTATAATGTAACAGTGTCTATTAATTATACACACATACGTACTACCCATACAATACATGACATATGTATGTATATACATATTATAATACGTGTTCATTTCTGCCGCGTCCTACTTAAGTAAAACGTCGTCGTAGTATAACGTTATGTAACCCCACGCGGATGCGATGTGTACATAACTAATATATTATATGTGGTTAGGTAAGTATTGTAATAATGTAATATTGAACGCGAACCGAAAAACCGTACCGACGAAAATAGTTACAATAATATAATATACATACCCAAGTCATAACCATTGAAAACAAGAGAGACGTGTACCTGAATACACGAATATCCAAATCGTATAATATTAATGGCAGGCGGTACCTACTTACTTCTTGCATGTATTTACACTGCCCTGGGACGGTTGCTGTACTACGGCACATAATAGTTGTTGACTTTTTGTATACATTAATACATTAACTGTAAATACGATTGTACGTGCAACCAAAAAATATTATTATTTATTTATTTATTTTTACATACTATTTTTAATGTAGGTGACTTTTTTTTAGTTAGTGGAATACAATAAATGGTTAAATTATAAATAATAGTAATGTTAATGGCAAATTTACTCGTAGATTATAGCTGGTACATTATAATAGGTAAAACGTTGGATAAAGGTATTGGAAGTTCAGAGTTCTGATCCTAGGCTTTCGAATACGCCACCATCAGTATATATATGACGTGCAAGCGCATTGAATTAATTGGCGGATGTTCGGTCAAATGTGACTGTGTGGGCTTGACATTTTTAATTTTTATCCATTACCAGAAATGAGAAGGCAGACTTCAACCTTCAACTCACTGCTTATAAATATATTGCCCCCATACACGTGCAACAGTACAAAAATAAATGTACAGAGTAAATCAATAGTAATTATTACATGAACTCAATACGAAGAAGCCGATGTATTATAGACGGGCTACAACCTTTGGTAGGGGAATGAGAACTTTAAAACTTAAGTCCCACTTGGTACCGATTGACGTAATGTTTTGGCGTCGGAAGTGCGGAAATCAATTAAACCAATATTAAATAGACTTCAACCGCGGTATATAATGTCAAACTCGTGTCAAAAGAATGAAAAAACTGCGGTTTGTGGTTACTCGGCGTGATGCGCGTACCTTTTATGCACAAGAGCACAAGCCAACACGCACGATTAGTGCATGTCGTCGTCGAGACACGTACCGCCGCCGGACTCGGGGTTCCGGATCGCGGTTGACGGGCACGAGCGGTCAAGGATCAGCTGTATAAATAAAACGATAGGTACCTATCGTGGACATCCGCCACGGACGCCGCCGAACGCTGCCCGAAAAAAACCAGAACGCAACAATATTCGTGAACAACAACAAAATCGGATTCGCGTCCGACTCCCTCTCAAAACCCGACGGAGTATTTTCGCCGACGATCTATCGTATGCACGTCCTCCTCCTCCTCTTCCTCCTACCCCCCCCCCTAACCCACCGGTACCCGACGTTAAGTATTTTTTTCCGTCGCAGATACCGGCGGCGGCGGCGGCTCTAATCAGCCAGCGACCAGCGACGACCGCGCCACCACGGTCGTATACCACTGATACTGATTAGAACACGACTGCAACGCAGTCCGTAGTAGTACAGAGTACTGTTACAGCGCAGACCCGCGTCCAGTGTCTACTGCCGCCGAGTAGACGGTTGTTGTCGAAGTCTGCACTCGGCGCAGTCGCATCCCAAGTCCGTACCGCAGTGCGTTCGGTCGGGTTGGTTACCTACCACTTACCGCCGCCGTGAAGACGCGTGTACGACCCGGACTCGGCCGCTCGGGGCACATGGTTTTGATAACGTTGCCCTTGCCAGCTGCCCGACAATATCACCTACGACGACGACGAGTGACGACAATAGTCTCCGTTTTTTGAAATATTTTCGTTTCCGCCGATTTTCATTGCGTCCCACAGTTATTTGACCGCGGAGGAATGCCTCCGGGAGGCACGAAAACTGTTCATTCGTAGTTTGACGCGCAGGTTCGGTGGTCGCCGCGGTGACCAGAGTGACGACGGTAATTATTATTACTATCAGGTACTATCGGCGACTGCTTTATTCAACTGCTTGTACTGCTGGGCGCCGACCGACGATCTGGACAAATGGCGAGATCAGACGACCCGTACAAAGAAGGATATCTCTACTTTCCGCCTCACGGAGTACTATCGCAGCTAAAAGTGAGTCCATTATTTACGTTATTATTACCTATCTCCGTGATTATCAGTCAGTAACCAAACCTAGGTTATTTTTGTGTAAAAATGTTTTTCGATTTTATTATAAAATAACCCTAGCTTTCCCACCAGTACAAAATGCCATTACTTATAAATTTCATGGATACCTTGTCGCTAATGCCTTTTTTTTCAAATTAAAAATTTGTCTTTCAGAAATCCTGGCAGAAACGTTATTGTAGATTATTCAAATGGAGTAAACATGGTATAGATCGTCTTGAAGTATTTGACGGTATTGATGACCAAAAATCTTCAAATATAGCCTCTATTATACCCTTGGAAAGTTGTGTGAAAATCACACAAGACGCTCAAAAACATCAACCTAATGTGTTCGCAGTAAGTCAATCAATATTTTTAAATATTTTTGTAATTAATAAACTTTTTAAAAGTTTAATGATAAGTAATGATTTAGTCTCGATGTTTAAATTCATCATTTATTTACAATACAATATATTTAAATGTAAGCACTATTTTTTAACATCAGTATAGATATATAAATAGTATATCATAGTAATAACTAACTTATGCCCTAAAATATTTCATATCATATAATAAAATTTAAATTAAAACAGAATAACAAAATATACCAAAGTTTATTTGATTACAGTTATTATAATTGAATTAAATAAATGTTTGAAAACTTTTCAGTGTATATGAATACAACTATATTTATATTGCTTTTTTTGTAAAAACATTATTGGTACAATAAGTATATTCTACAGTAATATGTAGATAGCCTAAAGTTAGTAAAAGGATTCTGAGCCATGGTTTATTATAAAATTACAGTAATTTTCATTTTTATAAAAATGTATCTATATTTAAAAAAAAATCTAGAATCTTAGTTGGTACCTTTAGTACTGAATGAAATATGTTTATAAATATACCTATAATTTAAATATCTGGTTTAATGTTTTTTTAGTTTAACAAAGTATTTTATCCGTATGGTTTTATAATTAAACTTAGCTATTATCTATTTTTTAATTTTAGCAAGAATTTTTTTTTTGTTAAACAAGTTTGATTAATTAAAACAAAATTGATATCTTAAAATTAGTTGCTTTTATAAATTGTTTGATATAATATTTCAATGATAAACTAAACACCAATAAATACATAAGTAATTAAATTTGTTTTCCTTTTAATAACTTCCATTAATTATGAAAATATTGTTATCATACATTTTTTTAAATACTCTTTTAATGACTTTTGTAATATGCTACAAAAGTACTAAGTATATATATATATATAATATACTAAGTACCAAGCACTTATTAAACTCAATAAAAATATAAATTATGTTATAAGAAAGTTTATTATTACCTTATAATCATTTTTTATTATGATTATTTTGTAATATTATTTTCATGTTTAGAACAGCCTTAAATTATTTATCCAGAAATAAAATAAAAGCATCTTTATATAGTCTAAAAATATTATACCCGATAAAAAAATAACTATTAATTAAAATTGACAAATTCATTAGTATTATACAATACGTATATTACTTCTGCCTGTAGTTCTTGTTAATTAAATTTAAAATACTTAAAACCATTTCTAAATGATTTTAGACAGTTAGTTTCATATTGTCTTTTCATATTTTATATTCTAAAACATATGAGTGAGTTTAATTATGGATATATAGGTAATTAAATAATTAAATACTGATATTTTATTAATAGTTTTATTGTATTATAATTTATTTTTTCATTTAAATTGAATAATATACTAGTTATGAATGAATTAACTAACTAAATTATTGATTATAAGCTGTGTATTCATCTCGGCACTCAGAAACTATTCCTATTAAAAAAAATATTGTCGGTATAATGAAAAAAAAATATATAATCTCACAGATTAAGATAAAGAATTAATGAATGCCAATATTAACTGGACGGGCTATACAAAATTTGATAACAATTTTTATTAGGAAATTTGATATTTTTAAAGCTATTGTATCATTGCAATTCAACAATTATAGTAAATGTTAATAATGTAATTAATTATTACCATAATTATAATTATTGGATTATTATGATTATTATATGTTAGAATTAATTATCAATTATCTATCTATTTATTTTTGATAATTTTAATGCACAACTAAAAGTTATTAAGTTAATAACGCCTTAAGTATGATGGTTTGGTATTTAAATATTTAATTTGTATTGCTTTACTGTGCATTAAAAATTTGCCATATCCACATGTGTTATCTGTGTCTTACAAATATAAAACTTAAAAAATTTGAGTTAGCAAAGCCAATTTTGTATTATTAGTTTAAATAATAGAGTAAATTGATTATTATGAATTTAAAGAAAAGAATATTATTCTCTGTGTTTTCTTGTTAGTTTTTTTATGATATTATAGTTTTCAAATGAGCTGGAATGTATAGAGTATTGAAGAATTGAAATTATCTCAGTTTATCTTTTATTATATTTTATTATTTTTATTTATTAATATTGCCATTTGTTTATCTATGATATAGGTTTGGACAAAAACCAGTGTTCATCATTTTGCTGCAAGCTCTGAACAAGAAATGACTGACTGGATATGTGCTTTGCAAGCTGTAGCATTTAGAGATAATGTTTCAAGGCAAACAATTGAAGAAGACAATGATTTATATTGTTCATCTGGAGATGGTAAGCTAACTAAAAATAATTTTATAGCTAGTAAGGTAATGATTTATGTGCAATATAAAATTGTTAAATTAAAGTGAAACATTTTATATTTAATAGATGGTTTAAAAAAAAAATTGGAAATTCTTAAGTTTTTAGTATACTTGTAAGGTTTAAACAATTATTATTTATTCATTATATTTTGTCTTGAAAGTGTAAAAAAAAAATTAGTTGTGGTGGTTTTGTCAACTATACTCAATAGTTCATATATTTTTTAAATATAACTTAAACACAACAACAAACTAAATATATTAAAGTTTTTGTCAAAATATATTTCAAATATGTTGTAAAATAAAATTAACACTATTCATTTTACAAAACAAACTTACTAATGTTAAATTCGTCTTGGAAATTGATGCTCTTAAAATTATTAAAAGTATTTTTTAAAATACTCAAGTAAAAAAAAATAAGCAATCTCAAATACGATAACCACCCTTTTAAACTAAAAATTAAAAATAAAACGTTAAAACTTGCATATTTTTCTCTTATATACTAAGTATCTGTCTCAGTGCTGATATTTTTCACTTTATTTTGTCTGATCTGATAATTAAACGGATGAATTTTTATCAATGGCATTGTCTAAATTTCTTCAAATAGAAAATATTCATTAAAAAATTATTGAAATAAGCACTTTAAAATTACAAATTATTTGTCATAAAAACGAATAATAAATTTCATTAGCACTCAAATCACAAAAATAATGAATTTTAATTTTATTAGATACCATGTTAATATTACAAATCAAATTATCTTACCCGGCAATTAACGTTTAAATTAATTTTTTTTTCAGCTGGTGTTTTTAGTGTTAAATTAATATCATCTGATGCCAGTGAACGTTGTGGTTTAAAAGAACAAACTTATACATTAGTCATTACTCCTGTTGCTCTACAATTACGAGAGTCTGATGAAAATGATACACTACTTCTAACGTGGCCATATAGATTTATTCGAAGATATGGATATAGAGCTGGTAGATTTACATTTGAAGCTGGTCGTAAATGCGCTAGTGGCGAAGGCGTATTTCATCTGGAACATTCAAACCAACAGGAGATATTTCGATGCATTTCATCAAAAATGAAAAGTATGAAAAAACTATTAAATGGTGGAGGTGATGCAACATCTATCATGTGTGGTGATAATCAGTTCAGAGCGGCTTTATCTATGATGGCCCGTTCTCGAAGCCCTTTACCACCATCTCCCACTAGTACTACTCCATTAATTTTGGACAATGACTTTAATAGCTTTTCTTGTTCAATCAAACCTCTCATGCCTCTACCATCATTTTTAGTACCTCCAACTACGTCTCCACCACCACCACCACTGAAACCAAAACCAAAGGCCATATTATCAAAAAAGCTACCTACTCCTTTCATGAACGACCCTTACAACGAAACTAAAGAAATAGATTCACCAGATGCAGCATATGAAGATGTTCAAGTGAGAAACGATGCCTGGAGAACCATGGGTCTAAATGATTCAAATCATTGCGAAAAACCTTATGCTAGTAACACTATAATACCTGATGATGGTACTGAACATTATGATCATCTACAACATTTTGGTTTCATATCTAAAACAGCACCTGGGTATAGACAAATTCATCCAATTGCTTTAACTACAAAACACAAATCAATCGTTAAAGCAGATACCGTGATGATGCCTGCTCGTAAAGCTGACGATTCACATTATGGTTATGGTACTATTAATAAAAAAAACTCGACCGAAGAAAATTGCTCAAACAATGAGTCTTTGGATTCTGTAGCACACAATGAATTGCAATATGCTATGGTCTTCAAGCCTAATAAGGTCTAGTCTTATTTTTATTATTATTGATGAAAATCATTCTCTAAATTTATATATTTTATATTATATTTTCCTATTTCTATACAAAATGTCGTATATTTATTAAATAGCGTCCGACTTGAAAGAAATTTAATTTTTACATATTTTATCATTGACTACATCACATTTAATCATTTTTGTTAGTAACTTTATTTTACAATGTTTAATTTTAGAATTTCTTATTTTTGTTTTATTTAATTTATGATAATTTTTAATTTTTAATAATATTATATGTGCAATAAACACAGTAGAAAAGATTTATAAATATTTATTTTATTAATATGTTGTAATAATATGCTAATATATATATGTATATAAATAATATATTTATGTATGAATTATACTGAATAGTTAAAATATTAATAATAATGAAAAGAAATGTATAAATATTTTTGGTTTTAAAATTTTATTATAAAACAATATTTATCTATTTATTTTTTTATGTCATTAAAAATTAAAATATTTAAAATAAAATATGTCAAACTATATTTTGTACAAATATTTGTGTGTAACATCAATCAAATAAAAATCTATGAAAAAAAATATTTATTCACTTTCAACTTGTATGACATTGCACACAAAGCTTGTTATAAACTATATTCATTGTGCCATATAACTCTTCAAGGATATTCAATTAAAAATTATTTTACTCAACGTAAAATAAATGAAAAACAAAATTATATTACCAATAATTATTGATTTACATACATATATACAAATCATATATTAAATATTTATTTGTTAAAATATATTGATGACAAATGCTCTTAGTTTATGGGTTTGATATTAAAATAACTTATTTCTACTTCTTTAAACTTAACTCTAGCATTAAACTAAAGATAAAAACATAGAAATAGAAGTATAATACAAGAAAATAGGCCAATTTTGTGAATCATATTTATGAAATCATTTTTTTATGATTTTTCACAGGTATATTGTAAAAATGTAGTGACATTTTAACAGATACTAACGATCTTAGTATACTTAGTAAAGAAGGCTCAAAGACCGATAAACTTTCTTTGCTCAGAATTCTTTTATGTTTATAATGATTTATCATTGAATTCAGATTTAACATGTTACAGTCACTTAATGGCTAGTTAGTAGTTTCACTAGACGTCTACTACATACGGCAGAACGGTTATTATTTTTATTTTTTTAATCTTTTGCGGGCTTAAAATTTTCTAAACTAAATATCCTACCTGATATTTTAGAATTTGTCCTGCTATTTAATTAAGCCTTTGGACTCCATTGAATTTTATTAAAAGTATTATACATAACTATTGGTGAGCATTAGCTTATCCCATACACCATACCGATTGTCAAAGGTGGGCAAGTTAAATTAAAAGAACATGAGGTTAATAAGTTAGAAGTAAACAGTTGACAAACCATATTTAATTTGATAAGTTAAAATTTAATAAGGAAAAAAATATTTACTGAACTCAGTTTAGAAAAATTTTCTGTATAATTTTTTTCTTTTTATCTATTTTTTTAAAAATTTTACTATATAAATCACATAATGAGTGACTGCATCTTTCTAATTTACTAAATTAAAAAAAAAAACAATTTTATGGAACTTTTATCATAATGCACACTGTACAACGTAAATACCCTTTTACTTAACATAATATATTATTTATTAATTTTAACTATACACAAAGAATTAAACAAATATTATTTTATTTTTTTATTTAATATACCAATTTTATTGAAGGTCATGTAACAATAAAACAATACAATTTATAGTTTATAAATTTCTAATACCAACTTAAAAAATTAACTTTTTAACTAGTCAAATCTAAAAATGAACAATCACATTGATTGATTGTTGAACTTAATTGATTAGACATTTTTTTCTTCTATACCCAGAGTGGTGATTTATGTGTAGCGCTATGTGGTTACCTTTGAATTATATATCAATGAATAGCATAGACGTATGCAAACCAGAATAATTTCAAAGATACCTACAATTTTGTGAATCATTTTTTTAAATTTAGCCTCTATTAATAAGTCAATTAACTTGAATCATTACACATTGATTTTAATTTTGTTATTATAATATTTACATACAACAATTACAAATTTATTATAATATTAAAATGATAGATATACATTTTTTATTATTAAACTCATTAATTACTGAATCTTTTTCAACATAATTTTAACTTATTTACTATTTTAATTATAACTAATTAATTAATTATTTAATATTTTTGTAGTACTTAGGTATACATAATAATTTAATAAACTATTTATATAACGTTTAAATAACAATATATTATTAGAAAAAAATCCTTATTTATAGTTAAATTAATTAACTTAATTAAATTCAAATCAGTATTTAAATAAATCAAATTGTGTAAGTAATTATTTTGATTAAATATTAACCTTTGACAATTAATTGGTTCATTAGAATATAATTCAATCTGAAATAGATAAAAATAGTACAAACAAAAATGAATCAATAGTTAGAAGCCGAAATTAAAAATCTTCAATGCAGATTCCCAATATTTTATTTTTGGCTGTTATGAATTTTGTCTTAGTTTACCAATTTTAATAGAATTTATGGTTTTTTGATGATCACTAATCATATAATGAAACTAATAATTTCATATAATATCAATAAAAAGTAATAGTCCCAACTTCCAATAAACATTACCTAAATCTATTTCAAAAATAGTTTCTATTTTTAACCATGATTTTTTTAACTTAGTCAATAACTATTAACCGTTATAATATATATATATATAATATAAGCTTTTACATGTGAATGTAAAAAATATTGTATGTTGCATTTTTTTTTTCTATAAATTATTTCAAGAAAACATTTTATTTAGTAACATCAAATTGGCCCCTGATTCTTGGACCTTTGTTTTAGGGCTTGAATTACAAAATATTAGCCATATACATCTGGTGTTGTATGTTGGACGGTAGTTTTTATAAATCTTGATAAAAACAATTTTCAAAATAAAAATTTATCCAAAAAAAAAAAAAAACTGCTGAAAATAAAAATATACGTAAAATTAAAAATTTAGATTTGTTTTAACTTAAAACAAATCTGTTCAGATAATCAATCTAGCTCATAAATTTAGGATAGCAATACAGTTATTTATCACATTTTCTATATCAATAAATAATATTATAATTTTAATATTTAATGTCAATTTAAACAATTAATACATTAACAACTTAAAAATAGTAAATTTAATTTAATAATATCATTAATAACTTCTTGTTTTTACACTAAAGATAAATGTATGTTTTATTATAAACTTATTTAGCAGAGCACCTCTGTCCAAAGTTAAAATGCTATACAACAGTAATTCAATATGAATAAACATGAAACTAAAACTTAAAATATATACTATCTTTTGTTTAACTTGTATTTTTAAACATAAAAGTAGCAATAAAATATACCAGGAACATTATAAATCATATAACAGCCATTTATAAATTAATATTACTGTAAAAAAAAAAAATACAAACAAGAGTTGTGTTTATATTTGTTTCTTTTTCCTATTTTATTATCAACTATTAAGACAATTAGTTTAAAAATATGTTAGTTACTCATCAAAATCCTATAAAATATTCAACAAATAGGAAATAAATTGTAATAATTATAACAGCTTCACAAATAACGAGGTAAACCGATAGGAAATGTATATTGTTTATTAAAAACGTGTTCGATGTAATTATGCTTAAAATGCAATAAAATAATAATAATAATAAAAATAATTGTAATTAATATTTATTTATCGTTTATAACATTATAATATAAGGTAACTCTAATAGAAGTATTTAAAAATAAAAAAAAATTATTAAAACAACATTAGGCAAAAAACACTTAAACATAAATATAATAATGTATTCAATAGTATTTTGTTCATCAACATATAGTCTTAATGAACCTAAAAGATTCATATCTTTGTAAAAACCAGAGAAGTCTTGTAGAGTAATAAAGTATAACGATTTATTTAAAAGCTAATTTTTGTTCAATAATCATTTATGTAAAGGGCTGAATGTAAGCTGAGTGAAATCTCGTACTGCATCTTTAAAAGATTCTGGAATTTCAGACTGATCATTCAGACGACTGATTTTGAGCCTAAGATAAACACATTAATCAATAAAAAAAAAAGATTATTAAGAATCAATAATTTAATTAAATGTTCAAGATAATTTATGAACACAAGAGGTATAACAACCAGTCAATTATTATTTGCATACTAGTAACAAAAAATAAATGAAATGATCATACAATTTCTGAAAGAAAATAAAATAGTATGCAATTTATTTTATTTCTTTGACAAGAAAATAAAATAAAAGTTTTAAAAACTAAAATATCAAAATCAAATTATATACTTGATGAGTATTAGGTAAAAAAAATACATACAATGTTACTATATTCGCATTGGCCTGTTTTGTAGCTACATCTAACGGTTCAATGTTGTCATTATCCTTAAGATATTGATTTGCTTTATGTTTCAAAAGAAGGCATACTTGTGCTGTATGGCCTGAAAAAAAAAAATTACAAAATTTATTATACATGATATATGCTGAGTAAGCTAATATGATGTCTAATAAATCTACTATTTCATCAAAGCAAGATATGATATTTAAAATTATGCCTACAAAATTAAATTTGATATCGTACGTAGTTCTTCAACATTTTTGTTAATACTGCATATATTTAACATAAATATGTTAAGCACATTAACATTTTTTTATATTTGTATTAATGTTGCTCCATGCTCCCTCCTTAAATGTTTTAAAGTTATTGTAGTCATTAAAAATGATATTAAAATGTTTAGAGAACTTCAATGATAATTTAGAAATTTATAATTTGATGAGTTAAATATTTAGCTACACACAAGCTACTAAAGTGCCAATTAATAAGTTTTAAAATGGTTTGTAGAAAGTTACAAATGTCTACTATTAACAATAGATAAATAGTATGGTTTTCCTATTCTGATTATAAATAGGAAAATTAAATATAATATAATACATATTGATTCAAACATATTAATTAAAAAATATATATCAAAAATAAATAATAGAACATTACAAATAACAAGAAAATGTACCTAATTGTGTAGCGAAAAACAGAGGAGTTTGCCCATGATCGTCTTGAACGTTAATGTCAGATGCATTTAGTATCAAATACTCACAAGCCATCACAGAACCCTGTAATGATAACATATATTATAAGTAAATTATAATTTAAGGAAAACTTGATGTACATTAGTGAATGCAAGTATTTAAAATGAACCTTACACTGAGTATAGCTTGAAAGAGTGAAGTCCGTCCGTTGTCATTTGGATTTTTCCAATTTCTATCTGCTCCTGTTGCTATTGCATGACACATTACTGGTAGATTATGCGCTGCTGCAGCTCGATAAAGCAGCATATCTGGCCTCAATGTAGATATATCTTCTTCTACAACTATCAAAATAGTTTAACATTATTTTAAAATTAAAATAGTTTTCTTAATTTTCCTACCATCTGTTCCATCATCACTAATTGTAGAATCGTCATCGCTACTAATAACATCTAAAGATATGCTTTTAGCATTGCCACCAATTACCATGACATTATCTTTTTTCTCATTTTTTACTGTAGATTGGACTCCACGTCGTCTAACTTTGCGGACACTCCATTTTCTTGTATTAAATTCTTCCAATATCAATTCATTATTAGGTATTGGCTTCACAAATAGGCGATCAACATACTTATTTCGAATCCATTGTTCACGGATTGGACTAAAATATATATTAATGTAAAATTAGTGACAATACATTTAACTAAAATTTAAAAGTTATAATTAAACACCTACCCAAGACATTTTGCTGAAGCACGTACAACTGTATCAGGAACATTATATTCATAAACTTCATTGACCACAGAGTTTCCAACTTCAGCCAAAACTTTTAAAATTTCTGGTTCCCAGTCATCAAGTGTTAATGAACGAACTTTACTATAATGAACGCCAAGACTTCGATGTACACCAGAACATTCTAAAATAAAAATACTTATTAAACAAGGAATGAAAATGGAAACAATTTACTAATATAATGATAATTATTAGTAATAAGTATATTTTTTGAAATTCTTTAAAATAATATTTAAATACTAACCAATACATAATGTTATGCCCAAATTTATGCTAGCCCAATCTGGATTTGGTGCTTTACAATCGCAACATTTTTCATTACCAGGAATTTTAACAAGCACATCCAATGTCCTGAGTAATTAAAATAATTAAACATAATAAAAATTAATAAAAACAATTTCTAGTAAAAAAATTACTTCGACTTTTTAATTTTTGGAGTCTGAAAATTTTCATTTGAACTATCATCATCTTGATTAGGTTTTGGTTGGGGACGATTACGTATTGCATTTTCAATACCTTGTTGAATAGTTTCTATCCATAACTTGTATACATACTCAGAATCAGCTTGTAAAATGTGACTTCTGTAGAAAAAAAAAAACAAACCAATTATTTAGTTAGTTCAGTTAAGATAAATATCTTATATTAGCACTTACTTAGATGGAGATAAAACTTCAAAACAAAACCTTCTTTCTGCATCATATGCTGGCTTCACAGAACAAATTCCTAGATCATCTTCCATAACAGTAAATAAATTTTCACCTAAAAAATTTAAGAGGATTAATAAAACAATTGTAAGATTTTCTAATAAGACAATTACATAAATATTATCATCCTTCAACTGGACATTAAACACATAAATTCAATTCAGATTAAATTTAAGAATTTGAATTTTTTTTTTTACTTATTTACCTGAAAATATTTAAAAACTTATTTACACGTAAACCTATTTTTAATTAAATTACCAACCATTTCTTTTACTATAAGCCAACTGATTATTCTTTAGGTAAAACCATCGTCTATTCCATGTTTTGAAAGCATTACTTGTTCGCTTGTACAGGTAGCCTTCAATACGTATCACATCTTTCCCCTTTTCACCATTTTCACAATCACCATTTATCATAACCGTATCATTGCTTTAATTTAAAAATAATACTTATTACTACATAAATTAATGAATTATTAACAATAACTATTTAATACACATCAATTCTGAACCTGTCAACCAATTTGTGATGTTCACTAAGTTGATTTTCCATTTCAGCTGCTTCGGCAGTCATTAAGACTACTTCTTTGTTCAGATTCTGAATAAAATCTTGTAAATCTTCAGTTAAAGTAAAACCTTGATGAAAATATGTACCCCACGCTTGGATATAAGACAATAGCTAAAACAAAAAAAAAAAAAATAAGAATTTTTGGCATTTATATTATATTAATTATTCAAGAATAGGGATAATGAACTTTTTTTAAGTCAAATGTTAAAATTACATTATTAACATTTCAAAATTTTATAGTTAATAAAAAAAATTTTCCCTACTATTTTTCATTAATGCAAGATTTAACAATAGTAATATTTTTATATGTCATTAAAATGTAAATAATGTACAACCTTTAACATATATAACTTAGATTCTTTGTCCCTGTACTCAAACAGTATACAAAAAACTAATTACTTACTGTTGAAAATATTTCAGGTTTTTTCCTAGTTAAAAGCATAGTAATACAATGCACATGATCTAAGGCAGCATGACGAAAAGAACTTCTTGCTGATGCAAGTTGACTTAGTACTTCATCTGCTTCTTGTGGACGAGATTTTAACACCTGGGAGTTCCTTAATAGAGCAGCGTCAAGTTCATATGTTGCCTTTTCAAATATATGCTTGGATTCTTTGCTTGCCTTAATATCTCTACACAAATAAATAAAGTAAGAATATATACACATATATTTAAATTATAATTATTAATACAATATTCTAAAAACTCACTCTTTAACAAATACTGTTAAGTTGTTCAAAACGGTTCGTGATGCCTGATCCAGGAATGTAGTTAAAAATTTGTTCATTTCTTGAAGAGCATGAATTATTTTATTTAAATTTTTAGTCGAAGATGTGTCATCACGGAAACAAAGTCCCATTTCCCATAAACTATTTGCAAATAATGATTGTTGGCTTACATATGTCTTCCCAGAATCAATCATAAGACTGTATACTTTTACAACCTAAATTAATAATAATAGTTTAATTTAAATATTAAGGTGAATAGTGATACAAGTAATTAGTAATAACTAAAGAACAGATTTTGTATAAAATGCATGTTACTATTTCCAACATCATATACACACAGTCAATGAGTGTCCACAAATTATTAATTGATTGATTAAATATCAAAATTTTATACTGTGTATTTTTGTATAATTTAACAAAAAACCGTACAAATATACATCTAACGATCCAAAAAGGTGTTGAGCAAAAAAAACAGATTATAGGTACGTTTATATAATATCAAATATTTTATGTCTTAAAAAATATTCAAACGCTAAAAATAAATTACTTAAGTTCTATATATGTTGATTGTACGAGTTTTATAGCGAAGATGTGGTTTTACTTATTTTATCTAATTTTATTATACTTTGATAACTTATTGTTTTCCCAATTACCATAATAAATTAAATTATATTTTTTTATAAAATTAATAAATATAAAAATTTTATTCTGTATGTTATGCATTTTTTTAGTGTATGTTTGCATGCATATTTTACAATTTAAAATGCATATAAATCTGGTCTTTAGTAGTAAAATTGAATTAAAAAAAAAAAACATATAATTACCTTTTCTAACCTATGTTCCAGTAAATCAATATTGGACTCATGGCGATCAAGTTGTGTCCTGAAATTAAATATATACATAAGTTTTATAGTATAGGCAAGTAATTTGAATTTAGTTTGTAGACTAAGTATAAGAGATTATTTAATTTTAATAATGATAAATTCAACATCATTTTTATATTTTAAATAATAACTAGTAAAAAATAGTTAGCATCATCTCAATGTCTAACAAAAATTTACATTTTCAACACAATATATTATTATATTTTTATACAATTTAATCATTAAACAAACTTGGAATAATAATAAATAATTAGTGATAATGTTAAGTTGCTAAAATTTATTATTATTAAAATAGGTTTGATAATTGACTTCTTTGTCATTAATTATATTTTTTAATTTGTTCAGATAATGTTAAAAGCTATGACAATGTTAACTATTAAATACATGAAACACAGAATTAATTTTTATACTCCTATGTACCTATTCATCCACCCCTTATGAGCTGTGTGGCAATTTATATTTTAATATAAAAGGAAAGTGGTTGAGATGCTACTGTTTTATGTAATGTGCTAACCCTAAAGTTATTTAAAAAGAGAAGCTTATTATCATCATTGCTACTTTTTTGCTACATCTAAAAAAAAATGTTTTCTGGGATCAATTGTAATCATAATATATTAAGTTGTGTTATTAATGACTATTATACTAGTAAAATACAGGTATTCTTGTCGTATGCAGTCTACTGCATGATTCTATATATTATATTATCTAGTCAACTGTATTAAAATAAATATTGTTAATATTAAATAAAGTGGGTATCAAAATTAAAATAATAATAAAATAAAGTATAGATTTTTGGTTTACTAATAATACATATATAAATTTAGTAAAACATAAATACATAAATGCATAAATCATACTTTGTTTTTTAATCATCAATCGTTAATTTTTAATTACTCATAAAATGATTTAAGACTTCCAATAAGCTTTTTCGCATATAGCTAGTAAAAAATTGGGAATGATAAAGGTTTTATGAACATGGATAAAACTTTTAACGTTTTATATGCAAGCAAATTATACAAGAATATTTCTATATACATTTATATTTCAAATAAAAGTGAATTTTTATCGGTCACCATTAAATGACATATAACAAAAATAATAATGATAACAATGCGCTTTCTACAAACATAATTTTATATCATTTTGAAATTTAAAATTTTCATAATCATAGAACATTTTTAACTATTATCAAGTAGGTAGGTAGCAGTAATTTTTGTGACATTTGATACACTATAGTGCTAATACATTACACATTTATATCTACTGCACTATTGTTTAGTCACTATTCCTGATCACTGTAGTTAAATGCTAAGGGCGAGTTTCTATTAAACACATAATTTGACAACGAGTAAAATTAGGGCACAGATTAAAAATCTTTAGACACAAGAAATATAATTTACCATGTTGTCTACTCCAAAACAGACCAAGTACACAATAAACAGGCTGTAATTTTGATAAGTAATATTGTCAATTTTTTTTAGTTTAGTTTTATTCATGCATGTGATTTTAAATTAGGATTTAAAAACGTAGTGGGTAGTGAGTTACCATTGGTAAACATCAATGCATTTATATTAATCGAGGCTAGCGGCGGTGACAGATTTTACAACTAGCCGTCTATCGCAAAGACCGCGTAAGTGATCGCCACTGATAGATCGCCTTTACCAGCCTGTCCGTTTACGAAACGAGCAACAACGCGCCGACACGTCGTAGTCGCGCCGTCCGAAATCGGCGGTCCGTGACTTACCTGAACTTGGGCGAGTCCTGCAGGCAGTTGCTCACCGAAATGGTCTGCATCGTGACGGTTTTCCTGTCTGGGCAGCGTTAGAAAAGCTTCATCGTCGTCTCGGCTTGATGGGTGGGTCGTTGGTCGCGCGGGAAAGCGACGGGGAAAACGGCGAATCGGGGAGGAAAACGCCGCCGCCGAGGGATTATCGCTCGACTTCGCGCCCGGCCACTGCAGCGGTGGCGCCGACGGAACCGATAGATAACGGGCGCGTCACCCGACGACACACGTACACGCACACCCACACACACACACACACACACACAGGGACACCGGACACCGCAGACGCCACAGCGACCAGCGAGACAACAGCGAGCGAAACGGGTACCAAGTTGCGAGAGCGGTGACTGACGACTACTGCTGACAACGACAGCAGCTAGAAATGACTACGGATCATCGTGCCGCTGACACCGCGCCCCGACCCGCTACACCTCGCACAATGAACGCCGTTATCGTGTACGTTGTCGTCGTGTATATATATATATATATATATTGTGTATAATATAGACGTTAAACGGCACGGGTGTACCCAGCACTACGTTATATTATTATTATTATTCTTATTATTATTATGACTGTATTATAACCGAAATTGTATTATTATTATCATTTATCACTATTGCGCGTTACGTATAATATAATATAATATTATAATTTAATATAATATCATAGCCCACAGGGCACAGGTACAGTGCGAAAGAATAATACCCAATGATATTGCGTACGATAATGTTGTACGTTTGTACGCGCTATACGACTGCGCGCTGCGAGCCGTACCGTATAATATTATTGCATTTATTATTATTGTAAATACGATATATAGGTACACACCTACATATAGTAATAGTAAACCGTAAACGCAAAAACCACCTATACCCAGCGGGTCACACGGTCGACGACGGTTTTCGGGTGCGCGGAGCGCCGTCGCGACGGGTGTTCCGCGGATGCACCTGCGCGAGACGGTCCGCACGGCGCCGCGTCGTATCGCATTATATTTCAACGACACTATTATTACTATTATTATTATCATTATTTTGACGCTGTCGAGCCACGCCTGACCGCGCCGGTGGGGTGGTGGGCAACAGGAGGACTTGCCCGGGTTACGGAAGATCGTAGCCCACTGCCCACCCTTTCGCCCCACTCGGCGGGTTGTCGCAGACCGCGCGTGCGAACGACGAGCACCGCTCGGCTTTTCGAGTTGCCCGCGTACGCGCGCCGTGCCCATCGCTGTCTTTGACGGGGCGCGCCGCCGCTACACCCGCACGTCGCGCCTCTACACAAGTAGTCTTCTGCTTCGATCTGCAATATCGTCCATTACGGTGGCGAATCATTTGCGCGTTCGGGTAGGACTTAGGTTATAGCAACACGACTTTAGAGCGAATATTCAGAGGTTGAGTGCATATTTCGTGATACGTTACAGCTATCTCGTCGGTTTTACGGTGCTCTACCTATTTTCTTTAAATCGTTTCGATTAGCCACGAGCATTTTAATATTTCAGTATTTTACATGCTTACTCACTATTCATAACTCGCTTGAAAACTAAATCATAAAACCATCGAGAGAGAATCACATTTTTACTCCAATACAGCAATGGAGTAACGAAACAAAATCGATTCTACCCGAACGCAAACTTGCTGCTACCCATTATACGAATTTTATTGTATAGTGTATACCTACTACGTTCCAAACGGGTGATTGTGAGTTGCGTCCTGATGTACCTTTTTGATGTAAATTACGTCCCTAGTATTTTTTGTGCAAATGTAAATTGCATCCCGCATATCTATGGTACACATATAAATTGTGACCCAGTTATTTTTTATATTAAAATGTAAAATGTTCTTGTGTTACATAGTTTTAACTAAACATTTCCTTCTCATTTTATCAGACTTAGGACTGTTAATATTACTATTACAATATTGATATTATGGTTAATAATATTGGTTTTTAAATTTTTTATACATTTTATGTTAATTATTATTGTTTACATTTTAGATTACACATTTTAATTTATTTATTTACTGTGGCTTATGAGAATTATATTGAATAAAGTAAAAATTTAAATCACAATTGCTTCACAAATCTGAGTAATTTTTTTTAGTTTTCAATGAAAAATCACCAACTAATTCATGCACTTCAAAGGTTATCGATGAACTAACATATTGTATTCGTTGTAGTGTTGTATATCTCTACAGTTGCAATACTATGCAATAATAATTAATAGTAAAAAAATAGTATCGAATTTTCCGCCGGACACAATTAACGTATACATGACATAAGCACGGGCTGCAACTTACGTATGTTATTAACTTTCTAACGACGGTGACAACACATGTGGGTGTAGACCATTTACTTGAAAGTTTTTACCCAACACAAACTAACACTGGGTTACTGTACTATTTTGGCGTGTAATGACAACGATCGCGACGAATGAAAATATTAAATATCAAATAATAATAATAAGGATTAAGGGTAATAAAAATATATATAGGTACATGACGAGAGCGCTGTAATAATGCATATCGAGTGCCGAGTAGATATAACATTTATATATTATACATATACCTACCCAGAACCAAGCAGCGTCAATTGAGGTGAGCAGATGAAGACCTACATTAACCATAGTTTGGTCACCATAAATTGTTATGGGCTGATTATATCGTAGGTCGCGGCCCGGAGCTCATAATATTATACTATAAGTAATTATACATTTTAAGATTCATACAAAAGCAACACTTAAGCAACTGATTGATTAACGATTCATGTATAAATATCCTTTAAAAGCTTAGTATAGCTTTTTGTTAATTTTTTGCTATTATATTTGACATTTATTTTTTGTATCGAATGATAAAAATGACGTACCTATTAATGAAAATGTTCAAAATATTTAGTAGACTTTTGAACATATAGGTATACCTATGTTAAATGTTTTAACTAAAAGATAATTAATAAACATGAAAATAATTTCCAAACTCATTTTAAAATCGTATTATGTCTACAAACTATAGTGTAATCATACACTTTACTCATTAATAACAAGAAATATTGCGTGTCTATTCGCGGCAAACCAGAAAAATGAAAATGTTATATATCAAATATGTTGAAGCAAATATCGTTCAACAGAAAATAACAGCAGTCACCGGTGATTGACTAAGTACATCGGTAATTATAATTGTAGACTCGTTATTCACGCGAATCCCAAATAAGTATGATATACAGGTAATATTTTTAAAAATATAGTTTATAGAAGATTTAAAATGTTTGTAGGCATCTATTTATATTTATGTATTAGTTTCAAGAGAAGTTCTAGGATAATAATTAATATGTATTTTCTACACATAATATATGTAGGTCTCGCGAAATGTTATTTATCTATATGACCTTGCAAACCATAGCAGCTGCTCACAACTGAGTGATTACAATGTTATGATGCCTAATGTAAAATAAATCTTAAGTGCTTTTAGCACTAAAACAACAATATCAAAAACAGTAAAGTTTTTAAGTGACGAAAAATATTAGTTAATTTTCATTTTTCGCTGATCCGAGAATTCTATTATCGAACTTGTATATAAACCTATGCATAAGAACTCGTTCTAAGAATCTATTTCTTATAAACATTGCATGATGATAAATGGTTTAAAAACAAGAAGTAATTAATAATTAATATCTTGGCAAATTGATGAATAACTCGGAAATTAGATTAGGTAATTCTTATTTAATCTTAAACATAAAAAATATAATTGTGTATTGTAATGGTCATTGATAAAACGACAATTTTATTTTACTCAATAGTCAATACCTAAGTAAACTATAAAGTCTATATTATAAATCTAACTAATGTTATATTTCAACATGATATTTCGTGATTTGCTATTATTTTATTCATTTGTAAATTTATTTATTTTTTTTTTTTTTGTCGTGAATTCGTAAACTAATGACATTTTTCTGTAATCATCAATCAATTATCATCCATAAACACGTAGTATATATATATATATATATATATATATATTCTATTATATGACTAACACTATGTAGCTAGACTTAAATATAGCGTGTTATATACAGTAATGACTAATGAGGCTATATGAATGGCTCGCCAATGGAGCAGTAGAATTTTATACTACGGCAACTGGCGGTCAGCTTATCTTTTTTATCTGGTCCATGTTACATTTTTAAATTAAAAAATTAACATTTAAGTATAAATACAAATAATATAATAATATTAATACAGAAGTTTTTAATTTTATCGACTTTTTTTTTTGCTCTTTGGCTTGCTAAATCTTAAAGTTCTAAAAATTGATCCTGTATAGTAACTTTCAGTTGCCCTTCCTTAATATATAAATACCTTGTTTAATAGTTTCCTGGGTGGTATATATAACTACTACCTATATTTTTGGAGCCATGAATTCTTATTTTGATTTTATATTTATACATTATATAAGTAAGTTATGTAAGTACAAAGAAAATTATAGAATTTAACTAATAAGGGAGTGTCTGTACTCTGTGTCCGTATTACGTTCTACATATAAATATACATATAACAAACTCATGTTATACGTATAATGGTATAATGTATATATATATAAATATAATGTATGTTATGTATCTACTTGTATGTATATAATATAACTATATATAATATCGATATTTGTGTATACTGAAACTACAGCAAATGTCCCATGACTATACTGAACGATCCTTTTATCAAACAACACTTATTATTTCAAAATCTATTGATATTTTTAAAAATATTATTTTTACTTAATTCCGGTTGAAATAAAACAACTCTTTCTTAAAAAAAAAAGTTAATTTTAAAACATATTTAATTTTTTAGGTTTTTATTTTATAAACGATATTTATAATTTCATATTCTGAAGCAGTACCTATATTTTTTAGAGTATTTTTATACATAAAAATCGAAATTCAGATGATTAGTTTGTGAGTTATAAGTATTTATATCTTAAGTAAATCCTGTATATAGTTCTCTCGTCATCATATTTTGCATAAAAATAAAATGTCAACAAATGAACACAGGAAAGCTTTAAATATATTTTTTTAAATTTAAAAAACAAATAAATGATCCGTTTCAAAACTTTTATAATTAAAACTGGGAATTTTTTATTTGTCAAATTAAAATGTATACAGATGCACATATACTTATTAAAAAAAAAAGTATTCCATAAAGATTTTACTAGATGTCAACTATTCAAAATCAAAAATAATATAATAAATTTAAATGACATGAAATACGATGCTTGAAATAAATGGTAAAGGTAATACTACGTATTTTAGTAACCCAGCATATAACCTTGGTTGATAACTATTCAGCGTATATTGATGATTGATGACTGTTGTTATTTCATCGTAGTTATTTGTTTGTTTTATAAAAATAATTATCGCAAAGCTAACTCTTCTAATAGAAAACCGTTGTATAACGTTTTAATTCAAAAAAAAATTTAATCTCGACCCATAAATATTATTTATTGCTAAATAAATGAATATAATATTTATTATTTATCATTAAT